TCTGTGCTCACCTGGGATTGAGAGCAGTATAGTTCTGTGCCCTGCAGCTCTGATATTTTGGCATCTGCAAACCTGTTAAATATATTGGTAAGCAAGCCAGTGTAGTTAGGGAGCTAACGGTGCCAAGAGAGGTCTACAACCACAGGCCAACCAGCTCAACAGGAGCATTTCTAACTTGCTTCCCTCTTGTATTGCCTGACATCCTTCTCAAACTTCCTGAAAAAAGATTTTAGGGCAATTACTTATTTTACTGCCTGTCCCCACTCCCGTTTTATAAACTCATGAAGTTTACTCCTCCTCAAAAGGGTTCAGTAAAAACATTTACCAAATGAATGTCAGGCTTCTCGTTGTCTTGTTCGTTAGGTTTATTCATTAATGTGGGCTGTAAACAGTTGGCAAAAGGAAATTTGTGACTTTTTAAAAAATTATTAAAGTAATCATTACTGCAGAAAACCTCTCTTCAGGGTGTGGAAAGAACAGAAAACTTGGATCTTACAACTGTGATTTGTTGCACTGGTCTCAACCCAAAAGAGGCCAGAGAAAGCGAAGATCTGTCTGAGGGCCAAGACAGCAAAACTTGAATTACCTCCTGAAGGCTTCTTTTTCTACCTTATGGTATAAGCCAAAAATATCAATTATAATTTTAAAACTGCTCCAGCGGCAAAGCCCTCCATTAGCAGACCGATTTACAAAAGGAAACTGAAAGGGGAACCAAGTATACTGGGTAGGAATTAACCCAAAATATTTTTTAAGATTGTTTCTTGTAACTCTGAAACATTGTATGGCAAGACTTCTGTTCTGAAAAGGAATGTTGGCTGCTGGGATCCTTAAAACATGAGGTATGTTTAGTAGCTGTTTAGAGAGGTGTGTGAAAGCAGGTGGCAATTACACTTCTCAGTTTCTGAATGTTAGTGTGCAATTTGGAACCTGTATTTTAAAACAGAGCCTGCTCCTGGTTCTCCCGAACCCAGTTCTCAACTTGATTTTCTGAATTGGATTTTGCAGTTTATAAGGCTTTCATCATCTTCTGAATTTTGTGCAGATAGATTGTTTCTCTTTTCCTCCTTGGACTTTTCAGACTTCCCAGCTTCAAACTCAGGTGTTTCCTGGATTGTTTTCTTTTGTGGTTCAGAAAGGTGCAGGCTGTCCTGGACCCAGCTTCCTCTGCCTCAAAGCAACCAGCCCACTGGGCAAGGTGCCTGAGTTCCAGATGAGAAGTTCTGAGTGCGTGCAGACTGGTTCTGTAGCCTCTCCCCACCAGCCTCTCAGGCCCCAGCATTGTGACTGCAGATAATAACCACACCAGCCTTGTTATAAAAGGCAACTGACTGTAAAACCTTTGCCCGAGTGAATTTACAGCAGCCCTGCAAGGTCGCCAGGGATGGGGGTGGGTGTCTATTTTCAACAGAGAAAACTGAGACACACAAGTTTGAGTCAAAGGGCGCACTGGGGAGTATCAGAGGTAACCCATGCCTCGACACTGTGCTTTACCTTTGCACATTGGCATTATTTGTATAACCCTGATTTATTATCATCATCGTCATTGCTCATTATTATGATGGTTGCACTGTTTTAGAATTGTCCAGCTCAGTGTCCCTGACTTTATGTCTAGGACAGTCTACAGACATTTCACAAGGTAATACCTTCCTATCCTGGAGTTAGTTGTCCCTATGCCAAGTCTGAGCAGGGACCCCGGGACATTTCCGGTCTTTTGATCAACTTTAAAGCAGGATGGGGAATGTTGTTGGGTGACCTCCAAGCCCAGTGGGAGCCCAGCGTGGAAGAACAGTACTTGGTCTCAGTAATCTGTCACAGTCTTGTTAGCTTTAAGAGGTTAGTCTTAAACCAACTCCACCTTGGATTAAGGCCACATAACTGTTGCCAACGGCTGTCCTGTACATGGTAGGATATTTAGCAACATCCCTGATCTCCACATATTACATGCCTGTAGCATCTCCTCCCCCTGCTAAGTGTGACAACCAAAAATATGTCTCTAGGCATGGACATATGTCCTCTGTGAGAGGCAGAATTCATAGGGTCCATTGCTGCTCAGCGCCATAGTTCAAACCAAGTTGTATTCGTAGCCAGTAACAGTCCTTTCCGGACATCATCTCTTCCATATCGTTGCCTGACTGCCCCTTAAGGATCATGTCTCTTGGCTTTGTCCTGGGCCAAGGTAAGGCCTTGAACTGTGACCAGCTGTCAGTGTGTCTGCCCATCTCACATGGAGTGTGGGCCCCTTGGGGAAGAACCCTCACTTTAGTTGTGTTGCTGTCCTGGGTCTTGAACAGGACCTGGCTGTGTTGCAAGGGACAATGGATATGCAGTGACTCAGCAATGACTGAGCCCTTTGCTATTCCATGTTTTGGCTTTGCTTAGGTTTCTTCTTGGCGAGACAACATCCAAGTCCAGTGGCAGTGAGATGGAGGAGCCCGGCCTGTTCACTGCACATGCCTGATGGGTTTGGCCAGATAGTAGCCCGTGAAGAAAAATATTGGGAAAGAGAGCAGAATATCAGTGAACCAATATAAATAGTAAATATTTGCAGGGGTTGCGAGAAAGGACTTGAATTAAAGGTCTTTCTGATGTTATGATGTTTTTTCACCCCAGGAATGAAGAAGGTTTCTGGTCAACCATGACTGTGCCTCCAGGCCCTAACCTACCCCCCGGGCAGTGGTGACAACAGCAGGACCTGCCCTTGGAGATCAGCTGCCAGGGTTGATGGCTGGCATGTCGCAGAGTCCACCCAGCATGTACTGGTGTGTGGGGCCAGAGGGATCAGCTGTGTGTCCAGAACGCACCATGGAGACCCAAAATGGTAAGGAAAGGGGCTGGCCATGTGGGCATTGGCTGCCATGCTTGCCCTGCAGAGAGTTTAGGCTCCGTAAGAACAAGGTGTGTTCAACCAAAGGAAATTAAATGGCAATTATTTGGTGTTTTCTCTTCATAAAATATATCTTGGGATTTGCACTTAAATTTTAAATATTGAGGGGCCATGTACAGAATTTATTGTGTACTCAGTGATCTTAAGAAATGAGGTATTATATCATGTTGGACTTTTGTAAATATAGGGTTTTGGTTTTGTTTTAGCATTATAAAAATAATACCTATTTATTAGAGAAAAATTTAAAAAGGGAAGTAGAAAACAAAAATCACCTGGAGCCCCTCTACTCCAGCACAAGTACAGCTGGCATATTTGCTTCTAGTTTCTTTTCGGTGATTAAAAACTTTGTTTTAATTTCATTGTACTTAGGATATAATTTTGTGTGCTTTTTTCCTAATTTTTTTATCGATGACTTAAGTTACCACTTAGTTCATGTGATTAGATGAAAACATCATTTTATAGGGGAGCACAATCTAAAATTCTTGACCTAATCTTCATTTTCCTTTGAACATTTGGGTTACTTCTGTCTGTTCATTTTTCCAAAAGAATTCCATTCCTATCTTTTTGTACATGGTCTCCAGTTTATTTCCATAAAGTAGATGTGCAGAAATCACATTGATTTGAACATTTTGACATTTTTTTTCCATGAGAGCTGCACCATTTTTTAACCCCACTAGACTATCACTGATGTTGTTGTTAACAATAAATATTTGTTAATCTCTTAGTGTATAGCAGACTCTGAATTTAGTGCTTTATGAAATAATCTCGTTTCACCCTCAAACCTGTGAAAATGGTACTTTTATCTCTGATATAATCCTAAGCAACTTGAGAGAAGTCTAGAAACTCTCAGTAACTCAGTAAATCATAGAACAGCCATCTGAACCCTATCAGACCCTTACAACTCTCGTTCTTAATTGCTGGGCCATCTTGTGGGATTTGAGAGGGCCCACAGGTTGTTTTAAGAAATCACATATTGGGTTCAAGAAGGCCTGGGTGTTGGCACCCTCAGCATCTTGTGAACCCCTGAGTGTGAGGGAGTTTTTAGCGGGGACCAAACACACAGACCACAGAGTTGCAGATGATGAGAGAAAAGTGGATACAGAGATTGAATATCCCATATAATATGCTGAGAATTGTACAGAACACATAAAACAGATTGGTTGTTTTGTACCACTGTAAAGTCAAAACATCATAAGTTGAACCGCTGTGATCAGGAACTATTTAGTATACCCCAAGGCCATAGCCAGGGGATGGGCAGCTATCACAGGGAAAGTGTATCTGAGTTACATCTGGTACTATAATTCTCCAGAAAATTCTATCCTTTGCTTCAACATGAAGGAAATTATATTAAATATTAAGGCATTACAATAATAATCAAATCCTTTTAAGGAATTTCATAAAGAAGCTACTAATTTATGCCCATACCCTGACAGTTTGATGCTCCTAAAAATGATAACAGTAGGTTGAGCCTGGAGCTCCATCCCTGGAGCTGATGAGATAATAGAATCTGTTCCAAGGATTGAACCCTATAACACAGCCCCTGCAAAACCTACTTTTGTTTTTTTAATTAAGTTTATTGGTACATTTTAGGTATGCAATACAGTTACATTCATCATGGGGATATTGTATCTTTACATGACTTATCTTAGTTCTTATTTTTCCCCATTCCCCAGCCCTCCTTTCGCCCACTCCACCATTCCATGTTTACAGAGACATTATTTCCATGTTTTTCCTTTTCTTATATTTTTTTCTTTTCCCTTTCTACCTTTCCTCCCCCTTTCCCTACTATTTTAGACCTTTTCTTCTATTACACAATGTCAGTTATACATTTTGATCCTATTTCCATTTTTAGTTTTTCATACCGGAGAAACTATTTGATATTTAAACATGTGTGTCCTATTAATTTCACTTTAGAGTATGGCCTCAATGTGCATACGTTTAGCTATGAATCTCTCTAGTTTCTCATTCTTTATGGCTGAGTAGTACTCCCTTTTATTAAAAAAAAAGCCACATATTCTTTATCCAGTCTCCAGTTGATGGGCAGTTGGACTGTTCCCAAGTCTTAGCTATTACAAACTGTGCTGCTATAAACATGGGTGCACATATATCACTGTGGTATGACTCTTTTAATTCTTTTGAGAAGATAACCCAGCAGAGGGATAGCTGGGTCAAATGGGACCTCTAATCCTAGTAGTTTGAGGTATCTCCATATTGATTTCCACAGTGGTTGCACCAGTCTGCACTCCTACCAACAATGAAGAATGGTTCCTATCTCCCCATAACCCTTCCAGCATTTGTTATTGGTTGATTTCTTGATAGCAGCCATTCTTTGTGGGGTGAGGTGGAATCTCAGTGTTGTTTTCATCTGCATCTCTCGAATGACCAGTGATGTTGAACATTTTTTTATGTGTTTATTTGCCGCTTTTACTTTTTTGTCTGAGAAATGTCTATTCATTTCAGAGGCCCATTTTTGAATTGGGTCTTTATATTTGGGATATCTAATAATTCTTTTGAGTTCTTTATATATTCTACATAGTAGACCTTTGTCTGAGGGACAGCTGATAAACCACATTGTAGGTTGTCTCTTAGCTCTGTTGGCGATTTCTCTTGCAGTGCAGAAGCTTTTTAAAAAAGATGAGATCCCAGTTGTTGATTCTTTGTGCTATTTCCCATGCTACTGAGGATTTGTTCATAAAGTTGTTTCCTATGTCAATATCTTCGAGTTCTACCTAACTTATCTTCCAGCAAGTTTAGTACTTTAATATTTAGATCTTTAATCCACTTCAATTTTAGTTTAGTGCATGGTGAAAGATAGGTGTCTAGTTCTAATCTTTGGCAAGTTGAAATCCACTTTTTACAGCACCGTTTATTAAAGAGGCTATCTTTCCTCCACTGAGGATGGTTGGCTCCTTTGTCAAGGTGAGGTGGCTGAGTATGTCTGGAGTTGTTTCTGTATCTTCTAATCTGAACCTATTTTTAAAACATCACAATTTGGATTTCATTTTTACAGCTGCTTCTTAAGTATGATGGGGTTTTGTCCCCATAAACCTGTTGCAAATTGAAAACATCATAATCTCAAATGCATTTAATACACGTGACTTGCCAAAAGCCCTCATTTAGCCCATCCTGCCTTTAACATGCCCAGAGCACTTACAATGGTCACAGCTGGGCAGTATCATTCATATCAAAGACTATTTTATAACAGAGATTGAATATCCCATATAATATGCTGAGAATTGTACAGAACACATAAAACAGATTGGTTATTTTGTACCACTGTAAAGTCAAAACATCATAAGTTGAACCACTGTGATCAGGAACTATTTAGTATACCCCAAGGCCATAGCCAGGGGATGGGCAACTATCACAGGGAAAGTGTATCTGAGTTACATCTGTGTCACAGACTCTGTCCTTCACTTATCTGTAGTCTTTGTTTTTTTTACAATGAACACATGCAACTTTTCTGTTGCTTTTTAAAATTATTATTATTAAGTCTATTGTTATATTTTAGGTATACAATAGTTACAGTCATCATTGGGATCTTGTACCTATACATGACTTATCAGGTTCTTCTTTTTTCCCCATTCCCCAGCCCTCCCTTCACCCCCCTCTATCCTTCCCTGTTTACAAAGACATTGTTTCCATGTTTTAGCACAACCTTTTCTTTTTCTCATATTTTTTCTTTTCCCTTTTTCCCTTTCCCCTACCCTTCCCACTTCCTCTACTCTTTTAGATCTGTTCTTCCCATGACACAATATCAATTATACATTTTGATCCTTATTTGGTATTGATAAATGTGTATCCTATTAATTTCACTTGAGTATGGCTTCAATGTGCGTCCACTTAGCTATAAGTATTTCTCTAGTTTTTCGTTCTTTATGGCTGAGTAGTACTCCATTTTATTAAAAATTAAAAAACACATCTTCTTTATCCAGTCTCCAGTTGATGGCAATTGGGCCGTTTCCAAGTTTTAGCTATTGCAAACTATTTTACTATAAACATGATTTTTTTTGTTGCTGTTTTGCATTATATTTACAGTAAGAATAACACTGCAGGCTCTTTTATTTTTTGCTAGCACATGTTTGCAATACATGAAGTTTACATTCTTTGTGTGGAGCTGGTCCCATGTATAGCACACCTGAATCCCTTTTTTCATCCCATTCCCACCCCTCCTTCTTCCTTCCATTTGCAAAAGATCTGTCTCCCTACATCCTATTATCTATCTTTTATTTTACTCTTTATTTATACTTTGGGTTTCTCATATAAGAAAAACCATGCAGTACTCAAGACTATGTGTCTGTCTGATTTATTTCACTTAACTTTATGGTCTCAAGGTGTATCCGTTTTCCTACAGAGGACTCAAGCTTATCCCTCTTCAGTAATATCACATCTTCTTTATCCATTGATGGACATAGAGGTCACTTCTAAGATTTAGCTATTGTGAATTGTGCTCCTGTAAACATGGGTGTGCACGGATCACTGCAATAGGGTGTCTTGAACTCTTTCAAAAAGATACCTAGAAGGGAGAATAGTTGGGTCAAATGGAATTTCTAATTTTCGATTCTTGAGGAATCTCCTTACCGATCTCCTTCGTGCTTGTCCTACTTTCCCTTTCCACCAACAATATAGGAATGCTGCAGCCTCACCAGCATTTGCTGTTATTCGATTTCTTGCTGATGGCCATTCTCTCTGGGTTCAGATGGAGTCCGATGCTTCAGGATTAGGGTCTGATTAGCACCCTCGTGTCCTCCCATCCATCTGCCCCTCTGGCTTCTTTCTCCCGGGTGTCTTTCTGGAGCATATTTGACTCAAGCTGCCTGTGGCTGGGCCCTCTGGAGGGTGCCCCTTCCAAGTGTGTCCCCCTAGAATGGCTTCCGGTCTCCAGAGGCAGATCATTCTTTCTCATCTTTCCCCAGCCTCTAGGATTGGGGGAG